AGGGGAGGAAATGCAAACACTTCAAGACAGCGTGAATCATGAGAAAATTGTAGATAAACTCAGAGAGGCAGGAGGGGAAGGGAAAAAGGACGGAGGAGGAGGGAGCGATTCCAAGATCCTTTGTTTAGTCTCTCGTCACCTTGGAGACGTAGAACTGCCAAGTGAAGGGGCTTGTCTTGGTGATCCCGTCGTTCTGCCCTCTTGTTAGGTCCTTCACACCCTCCTCCCCGTCACTCCCCTCCTACATCCCCCCCGTACACCTTCCTGCTCCTGCTCCTGCTCCTGCTCCTGCTCCTGCTCCTGCTCACCTTCATAGGAAGCATGCTCTGGCCAGCAGCGCCAAGGATCAAACTCCCCAGAAGCTTCACCCGCACGACTTCCTCCTCCCCGATCCCCTTGCCGATGTCGTATACCAGCGTGTTGGTCGCGTCGTCGTAGAAGGGGTCGAGGAGGGATATCCCCTCCCTCGTCCTCACCCGGACCCAGTCCCTTGCCCCTCGCTCTACACACTCAGGGTGCAGCTTGTCGCTGAAGGTGATGGCAATCCTGCAGCCGTCCGACGTGACGGTGGAGAAGGGAGGAGGGTACAGACTGAGCACGCGCAGGGGCTGGTACCCCTCCGTGAAGAAGCTCCAGCGAGCTACCCCCTCCACCTCCTTGTCGCACTTGAGGTGCCGCATCCCTTCCACCCCCTCTGCCATCCTTCGGTTGAACACCACCTGGTAGTGCGAGCAGGAGGCAAGAGCCCTTTTCGGCTCCAGCTGCACCGTCCTGGTCCAGGAGTCCACCTTGAGCGAGCAGGGAACGAGCGCAAAGCTGTTCTTCTCGCGCAGCTGCACCTGCTGGGGGAGGAGGGAGGAGAGGTCAGGGCTGCCGAGCAGCTGCCCCCAGTAGTGAGTCTCGTCCTCGTCTATGCTCGTCATCTGAATGATGATGATGGAGTCCGTGGAGACGTTGATGGCGTTGCTGCTCGGGGAGGTGAAGCGGATGAAAGTGCGGATGTCGTTGCGGGCAAACGCTGAGTTGATCACCCTCAGGCAGGACTCCTGCGAAAAGAGGAAGTCATGAGGTGAAGCAGGAGCAGGAGCAGGAGCAGGAGCAGGAGCAGGAGCAGGAGCAGGAGCAGGAAGAAGAAGAGCAGGAGGAAGAACAGGAGGAGGTATCAGACGATAGGAAGAAACGACTAAGACAGAGAGAAGGAGGAGGAAGGCAATTGGGAAAGCAAGGAGGAGGACAAGGATGGAGATAAGGAGGAGGACAAGGATGGAGATAAGGAGGAGGAGGACAAGGATGGAGATAAGGAGGAGGAGGAGGAGGAGGCGAGCAAAGCATGGCATTTCGTCGAGAGCAGCATTCTACCTTCTGAATGTTGTACTCCCTGAGCGTGCGATCGTTCTCGAGCTGCTTTCCAACGAAAAGAAGGACCTGCGACAGAAGTGAGCGGGAGAAGGAGGAGGAGCTGGAGCGTGAGGGGGAGGAGGAGGAGGAGGAGGAGAAGCATGGGAGGTAGCAGGAGAAGGAGAGGCAGTAGGAGCAAGTTATGCAGGAGGAAGAGGAGAAGGAGGAGCGGGAGGAGGAAGAGGATGGCAAGGAGCAGCAGCAGCAGCAGCAGCAAAAGCAGAAGGAAGTGCTGGAGGGGGAGGTCGAGGAGGCGGTCAGTTGTTCCAGCTCGACCTGATTCTCCGGGGGAGGCTCATCGGGGAAAGCGAAGACATCGTCCTTGAGGTCCTCGATCTTGAAGTCGTCGCGCACAAAGAGCGTGTGCTTCACCCCCATGGTTGTCTTCACGAAGAGCTCCCTCCCCTTGAACGGGTTCTCGTTGAGAACCAGGAACAGCGTGCTGTCCTCCATTACCCCACACTGCGCATACCATCGTCAGGAACCCGCCGCCACCTCCTCCTGCCCTCCTCTCCAACTCACTTGGCTCAGTGTCATCCCGTCTCTGAGGAGGAGGCCATGGTGGACCAGTAGCTTGTGCTCTACCGGCACGTTGGACATCGTCATGACCCTCCTCCTAACGTCCTTCACGTCGTCCGTTTCATGGCAGTAAAGCGGCTCCAGGTTCTCCCGCCACTTGATGTAGACGAGCATGTTGCGATCCTCTCTCAGCCTTCTCCTGCCGTCTTCTCCGATCTGCTCACGGCATTCCTCCTCCTCCTCCTCTAGCTTGCTCTTGTCCAAGGTGTCACGCCAGCTTCTTTCGAGCCACTTTGTGTACAGAACCTTCAGGTCCCATCCTTTCGCCTTCTCGCCCTTGGCTCCTGCCCTCCCTCCTCCTCTTCTCCTTCTGCGTGCCTTCAGTCTTGTTTGTCCTGTTCCTCGCCCTCCTCCTCCTCCTCCTCTACCTGCCCCTCCCCTCCTCCTCTGAAGCCTTTTCTGCCATCCTCCCGAAATGGAATCGCTGTGTTGGATTGGAAAAGAGGCAACTTGGTGGGTCTGCCTCAGAACATTTAAATACACAATTGTAGAAGACACTGTAAATTTTAGAGACTTTATGGTCTATGACTATTGCTGCCGAACATTTAACCATGAGGCGAACTTGTCTGGATTGGTACAGATCGGTCCGGCAATCCGCCCGGAGCGGCCGGCCGCCGGGCCGCGGCCCCGGGCCCGGCGGCGGGCCTGCGGCCGGGCCCGGGGCGGCGGCGACAGGCCGGACGCGGCCACTCCACGGCAGTGCCGCATGCCATTGCGCGGCGGGGGGTGGGGCCGCACCGTCACGCGCCGGCTGCCAGTGCGCCCGGCGGACCGGGCAGTGCGGCCGCCGCGCGGCCGCCGCCTTCGAGTCAAAGTTCAAGTTGACTACGGTCTGAGTCGGACTCCGGACTCGGGACTCGGTGACCGACCGCGACCGTTAACGCCGGTGGCAGCGGCGTCGTGACTGAGTCCGGGACCACCATGCCATGATGACTCCTCGGCTGAGTGACTGAGCCAGCCGAGTCCGCGACTTCAAGTTCGGACCGCACCTTACGGGCCGGGGGCCGGGCCCTCTCCGAGATGATCGACAAACTTGGGCCAGCCACTCAGTCACGGTGAGCGGCCAGGGCATCAATACCATATCATGTAGGAGGATCATGTAGGAGGATCATGTAGGAGGATCATGTAGGAGGATCATGTAGGAGGATCATGGCATGTAGGCTCCTGAGTCAGTCGGCCCGGCCGACTCTGGCTCGCGGGTCATCGCCGACCTCTGAGAGTCCGAGGCTCAGTCTTCTCTTTAGTGACATCAATAGCGGCTCGCCGGGACTTGTTCCTCCTCCTCCTCCTCCTCCTCCTCCTCCTGACTGACTTGCGGGGCCTTGCGGGGAATTCGAAGGTAGACGGCATTCGCGTCCTTGTGGCGGCCGCACCACCTGACGATCCCGTCGTGATAGAAGCCGAAGCAGGAAATGATGTTGCAGCCCTGCTGACGGCACCTGGGAAGCAGCTGAGGGAGAGGAGGAGAGGACAGGAGCGCGAGAGGACAGGAGGGAAGGGTCGGGGAAGAGAATTGGGGGCCATAGAGGGGTAGAGAGTTGGGGACGAGAAAAGGGAGGCAGGGAAGGGATGGGGGATAAAATAGAGGGGAAGGAAGGAGAGGAAATGATAATCAGTTTTTCACCTCCTCGTCTTAGAGCAGAGGATCGCTGGCTGGTACCTCGCATGCCCTTTGCTGCACCATAGCGGCTTCGCTTCCGTGGCACTTGCGGAGGCGTTAAAAGGGCACATGCTTGCTTGCCGAGCGCAGGTGCTGGCAGAGAAATTCAGCGGCGATAGAAGACAGAGGAGGAGAGGGGAGGGGAAAGAAGGGGAGGAGAGGGGAGAGGAGAGGAAGGGAAGGGAAGGGAAGGGAAGGGAAGGGAAGGGAAGGGAAGGGAAGGGAAGGGAAGGGAAGGGAAGGGAAGGGAAGGGAAGGGAGGCGGAGAAGGAGGAGATGGTGGGGAGTGATGGTGACGTTGGTGGCAGTGACAAGGGGCCTGCAGTGAACGAGAGAAGCACTGAACACGCGCAGACAAGTAACAAGGGGGAAAAGATGATGATGATGATGATGATGATGATGAGGAGGAGGAGGAGGAGGAGGAGGAGGAGGAGGTGGTGGTGGTGGTGGTGGAGGCGAAGTGCTACTTACGGAATATCACATAAGGGTCTCCTCCTCAAGTCCTCGTGGTCATCCAGCTTGTGCAGCTGGCAGAATCTGGAGGAGGACGAGCCATAGAACCCTTCCTTGCTGCAGCCCTCTGGGTGGCTGCAGAGCATGCTCCCTGCCACCCGCGTCGCCCTCCACTCCTTCTTGACTGTCTTCACTGCCACCTCACTGGCGAGCTTGTGCGCCGGGCAATGCCGGGCAGCATGAAAGCCGAAGGGCACCGAGGCCTGTGCGGCTCCTCCTTCCTCCTCCTCCTCCACGTCTCTCCCCCCCTCCCCGTCTCGCTCCCCTCCGTCTCCTCCTTCCTTGCCCAGCGTGCTGAACCGCCTCTCACCGAAGACGGCAAACTGGGGGCAGCGATGACACCTCTCTTGGGGTACCAGCAGCAGCAGCAGCTCCTTCCCAGCTGCTCTCGAGCAGAAGAAGCAAAAGAACTCCTTCCAAACCCACTGCTGGACAAGAGCAGTCCCCCTGCAGCTGGAGGATAGCTGGGAGTGGTCGACGGCGAAGGAGCCATGGGTGATGAAGATGCTGCTGCATCGAGAGCATGCCCATGGCAGATCACTGGAGAGAGAAGTCAGAGGGGAAGGGAGGAGAGAGGAGGTGGAGAAGAAGCGAGGAGGGGAGAGGAGAGAGAGGCGGAGTAGGGGACAAGGGAGAGTAGGGGAGGGGAGCAAGGGAGGAAAGGAGGGCAGGGGCCAAGGCCAAAAAGGGGGG